CTCTGCGGCGACTGTCCGACAGGGAACGAGTTGAGCTACCAAGCTTCCAGTCAAACGCGACCAAGGCAGAACAGCGTGTTCATTGGCTCCAGCGCGTCCATGCTACCAGGCAGTGAAGCTACACCACGTCGGACGAAAAGCGCATTCGACCTTCAATTCTTCATACTGTCGGAGAACAACGCGGCGGCAGACTGCTCTTCTTCCGGCGAGCAGGAAGCTGCGTCGCGAAGCTTCAAGCCGTTGAACGAGTCCACGAGACTGTTGCTACGCGAACGAAAGGCCAGCGTGTGCCAGTGGGACAGAACCGAGGTGGCAAAGCCTGCCATACGAGACCGAAGGATGAGCATCTGTCAGCTGGACTGTTCGCCGAGAAGCTGGCAACGTGATCGTGGGATGAGCGTCTGCCAGTTCGACAGGATGGACGTGATCGCCAGGCCGTTGCAGAGAGACCGTGGCGGCAGTATCTGCCAATTCGACAGGATGGACGTTCTGGCCAGGCCGTTGCAGAGAGACCGCGTGGGCAGTGCTTACCACTTCGACAGGACGGACGTTCTGGCCAGGCCTAACTTGTCCCACGGCAGGTCCTTGACCAGGGAGAGACGCGTGAGTACGTGCAGCTTCCTGGAGAAGGACGAGGAGGCGACGAACGACACGCGGATGGAACAACGTTTGAGTAGCAACAGCGTGAAGGCCAACGACGCCGACATGTTTGTTGAAGAAGCGGAGTGTGAAAGCAGGATGCACGAGATATTTGCCAAATGCCGGCCTAAGCAGAGTAATAAAAGCATCGGTCACGGATTGGCGGATCAACCGTCTTGCAGCAAGACACCTGATGTTGTATTTGGATACAAGGCTACCTGTGTGTAGCACGAGAAGCTTCTGGCTGGCAAAGAAAAATTTCAATTGCAAATTTGAAAAGAGTTGGAATTTATAAGTTGTAGAATATATATGTAGGTCGGTACATATTTAACACAATGTATTTGTTAACTCACGTTTTATTATCACGATCAGCTGCGTTGAATTATGTAATTCAATTGAATCTTAGTTTAATTGCACATCATTGTGTTAATATTATATTATGTTTACATTGTTATATTATATTACCTTTACATTATTATATTTGTGTTAACAATTTCATTATATTATTGTATAATACGTATAATTTATGATATATATATTATTATTATTTTATATTATATTATATTATTATAATATGTTATATATATTACATTATATTACGTTTACATTATTATATTTGT